AGGTAGATGGTAGGTGTAGGTAGCTGGTAGGTGACGGTATCTGGTAGGTGTAGGTAGTTGGTAGGTATAGGTAGCTGGTAGGTGTATGTAGCTGGTAGGTGTAGGTAGTCGGTAGGTGTAGGTAGCTGGTGGGTTTGTAGGTAGCTGGTAGGTGTAGGTGAAGGTATCTGGTAGGTGTAGGTAGCTGGTAGGTGTATGTAGCTGGTAGGTGTAGGTAGGTGTAGGTGAAGGTATCTGGTAGGTGTAGGTAGCTGGTAGGTGTATGTAGCTGGTAGGTGTAGGTAGCTGGTAGGTGTAGGTGAAGGTATCTGGTAGGTGTAGGTAGCTGGTAGGTGTAGGTAGCTGGTAGGTGTAGGTAGCTGGTAGGTGTAGGTGAAGGTGTCAGCATAGTTGCTGATCCCTGTATTCCCAGGTTGCTGATCCCTGTATTCCCAGTATTATATAGCATAGCATATTAGTATCATCCCTGTGCTTTAGACACGAGATCCCTCATAGGCCTGGCTTTGTGTGACGTCATGGGGATACACATGGGCAGTGATCCCTCTGTCCCGTTCTCACTCGGCGGCAGACCTACAAGGCGTGAACAGGCTAGGCACCGGGCTCCATCTCTCATCTCAGTCTGACAATACACCTACCATCCTACAAGTGTGTCTACCTTATCCTACGATATCTCCATTCAAGAACCCTTCTGGTAGGTGTAGGTAGCTGGTAGGTGTAGGTAGCTGGTAGGTGTAGGAAGCTGGTAGGTGTAGGTAGTCAGTAGGTGTAGACAGCTGATAGGTGTAGGTAGCTGGTAGGTGTAGGTAGTTGGTAGGTGTAGGTAGGTGTAGGTGAAGGTATCTGGTAGGTGTAGGTAGCTGGTAGGTGTAGGTGAAGGTATCTGGTAGGTGTTGGTAGCTGGTAGGTGTAGGTAGCTGGTAGGTGTAGGTAGCTGGTAGGTGTAGGTAGGTTTAGGTGAAGGTATCTGGTAGGTGTAGGTAGCTGGTAGGTGTAGGTAGCTGGTAGGTGTAGGTAGCTGGTAGGTGTAGGTAGTTGGTAGGTGTAGGTAGTCGGTAGGTGTAGGTAGCTGGTAGGTGTAGGTAGATGGTAGGTGTAGGTAGTTGGTAGGTGTAGGTAGCTGGTAGGTGTAGGTAGCTGGTAGGTGTAGGTAGCTGGTAGGTGTAGGTAGCTGGTAGGTGTGGGTTTAGCTGGTAGGTGTAGGTAGCTGGTAGGTGTAGGTAGCTGGTAGGTGTAGGTAGGTGTAGGTGAAGGTATCTGGTAGGTGTAGGTAGCTGGTAGGTGTAGGTAGCTGGTAGGTGTAGGTAGCTTGTAGGTGTAGGTAGCTGGTAGGTGTAGGTAGATGGTAGGTGTAGGTAGCTGGTAGGTGTAGGTAGCTGGTAGGTGTAGGTAGTTGGTAGGTGTAGGTAGTTAGGTGTAGGTAGTTGGTAGGTGTAGGCAGTTGGTAGGTGAAGGTAGTTGGTAGGTGTAGGTAGTTGGTAGGTGTAGGTAGCTGGTAGGTGTAGGTAGCTGGTAGGTGTAGGTAGCTGGTAGGTGTAGGTAGCTTGTAGGTGTAGGTAGATGGTAGGTGTAGGTAGCTGGTAGGTGTAGGTAGCTGGTAGGTGTAGGTAGCTGGTAGGTGTAGGTAGCTGGTAGGTGTAGGTAGCTGGTAGGTGTAGGTAGCTGGTAGGTGTAGGTATCTGGTAGGTGAAGGTAGCTGGTAGGTGTAGGTAGCTGGTAGGTGTAGGTAGCTGGTAGGTGTAGGTAGCTGGTAGGTGTAGGTAGCTGGTAGGTGTAGGTAGCTGGTAGGTGTAGGTAGCTGGTAGGTGTAGGTATCTGGTAGGTGAAGGTAGCTGGTAGGTGTAGGTAGCTGGTAGGTGTAGGTAGCCAGGAAGCCCCCCTACTCCAGCCTACGAGACCTATGTAGCTGGGCAAGAGAGGGATCATACCAAGGGGCTAAATCATGAATCAAAATCCCATGAAAGAAAACAAGGTACAATACCCTTACTGGAACGATACACAAATAACCTGCACATAGTCAACCAAAACAACGTCACAAGTTTCATTCTCCCATGTGCGGTTTATTTGCGTATGATCCCTTTAGTGACTGAAAAACAGAACTAGCCAGTCACAGCCACAAATGCCTGATGATGAATATTAGATAACTGGCCAACAGACACATCCACCTTGCCCAGGGCATCTCTCACCATCACAACCTGGTCCTGGTAAAGGTTTATATAATTACAAAAACACATTATGTGCTAGTAAGCTGGTGGAATTGAAATATTAAGACTAAAAGTAACACCACTATGATCAGGCACAGTAATACAGGAGGACCATGCATAGTTGTCATCCTTTTTTTCGGCATTCCACATTTTCATTGGCTTTCAAATGAGCCATTGTTCATTATGATCAGCACTGTTACCAATTTTCTGCCATTTTCACACAACAGCTGTGTGAGGGAAGGGTGACCAGTGCCATATTTTTTGATGCCTACTGTTTCTTTTATGCCTAACTTTATTAAGCACTTAACCCTTTGAGGGTCGACAGGCCCTCTCCGAAACTCGTTCTCAGGGTCGGCCAAATTTAAAAAAAAAAAAAATTATTTTCTCTTATGAAAAGATAGAGAATCTTTTCCCGATCATAAAGACACCAAAAGTTTGAAATTTGATAGAAAACTTACGGAATTATGCTCTCGCAAAGTTAGCGGTCTCGGCGATGTTTACGCATCGGCGATTTTGCCCACTTTGAGCCCCATTTTCGGCCAATTTCACTGTACTAGTCGACAAAAAACATGAATATTTCGCTAGAACTCCATTTTTTCTATCGAATGGGTGCAAGAAACCACTCATTTATGAAATTCAATTATCCAATACAGTGGTCAGAATTTAGCAATTTTGCCAATTTCACACAAATTTCAAAAGATGCCAATTTCCGAATAGGGTCCAGAATAAACAAGAAAGTCATTCCTGGCACTAAAATGACATTTCCTCTAGTGATTAGTCACGTCTCAAGGCCCCTCTTATATTCTTTTGCTTTCCACTTTGAATTTTTATTTTCACAAAAAAATATAAGATTTACTGTTATGCAGACTACTGCATTAGTGTAAAAAATGGTATAAATATTATTGGTGCACTTGTGAAAGAATATTAGACTCACCAGTTGACGTGTATTGCACGCTTGGCACGATTTGTGTACTTTTGAAGTTTGGTAAAAATCGAACATTTCTGCTACTTTGAGCTCAATTTCAAGGCACTTTTCTTTGTAAAACCAGTCAAAATCATCTCAATTTCTGTAATATGTCTTCCATTCTATAAAATGAGACCAAGAAAACTAGAATACAACAATAAATACCATACGAAAATACACTGCAAAGTCGCTGATTTATTAAAAAAAAATGGTCAAAGTTTTTTTTTCTCATTATGCACTGTGTGCTGCAGGATTTTTTTTAGACTGTGCACACTGACCACATAGACCCATTCTTTTATATGAAGGCCTACCAGCTTTCTCCCACTAGATTTGAGGCCGCTAGAATTTATGAGTACTAGTACATCAAAAACCCCTATGCGTAAGACGTACTAGTACGACGAAAACCCTCAAAGGGTTAATATATGATAGTGTAATTACATTACCAAGCGTTTTATAAGGATTCAAAAATGAAAAACGGTTTTCACCCTCCGGTGAACGCTTTGAGAATATTCTGTATTGTGTATGATATCATTATATCATTATTGTGTATATCATTATTATACACAATTCAGGAGGTCCTCAATGTGCAAACTTGTAAGTTGAGAACTTACTGTATTTAGAGGTATTATCTCAACATCTTCAAGACTTAGCACTAGACAGAACCAATATTGGTGGTTGATTAAACATCTAAATTATTCAAATCTATTAGTTCCAGGAAGTTCTTTGCAAGTGGTACAATAAGAAAAGCAAATCCATCAAGAAGCAAGAAACCTGTGTCATCAGTGGCAAGCAAATGTGAAACATTTCCAAAAAAATGAGAAAGTGTACATACATGTACACAGGAGAGTAATGAATAAGACAGCAAGTATACATGCACACACAAGAGAGAGGAATAAAATCATTCATGTATACACAAGAGACTCACGAAATCGTAATGACACGACTGCAAACAAACCATACCACAGGCGGGGTTTGATGCCGCGGTCAGAGTCTCAAAACTCCAGACCGTTGTGTTAGCCACTGGACCAGCTAGCTTCAATAAGATTCATCCAACTAGGTATATTTCTACACCATAGGAAGGTTAGCATAGGCACCACTGTGACCACAAATGCAAGTTTTTACAGATGAATCTCCCGCTAGCGTGGCCATGACGAACTCTAGCTCAAGTCCCTTCAAAGCCGTCAACATGACTCATGAAATCATAATGACACAATTGCAAACAAACCATACCACGGGTGGGGTTTGATCCTGCCTATGCTGACCTTCCTATGGTATAGAAATATACCTAGTTAGATGAATCTTATTGAAGCTAGCTGGTCCAGTGGCTAACGCGACGGTCTGGAGTTTTGAGACTCTCTGACCGTGGGATCAAACCCTGACCGTGGGATCAAACCCCGCCCGTGGTATGGTTTATACACAAGAGTAATGAATGAAGCAACCATATGTACACACACACAAACAAGAGTTATGAATAAACTCATACATGTACACACAAGACTGATCAATACAACAATCATACATGTACACACAAGACTGATCAATACAACAATCATACATGTACACACAGGTGATGAATAAAATAACAACCATACATGTACACACAAGAAAAATAACAAAAGACAAATTTGACATAAAAAGCTATTAAAAAAAATCAACTACTATTTAATAGAGTTTATGCTAACAAACTGATACAAAAAAAGTGGTTCACTGAACCCGAACACACAAAAAATTTATGAAGTTGACTTAAAAGAAACATCAGAAATACACACAGTATAAGCTGACAAATTCAGAATAACACATAGTATAACCTGACTTTGAGAACCTTGACATCTCACCTGAACTGTGGGGGCCCACTTTTCAAATTCCAGAGCCCAGTTAGATATGGTGGAGAGCGGCACAATAATGAGATAGGGTCCGTTGTTCTTCTTGGTCTCAATCAAGTAGGTGAGAAGTGCGATAGTCTGGATAGTCTTACCCAGACCCATCTCATCGGCCAGGATGCCATTCAGATTGTTGTTGTAGAGAGAGACAAGCCACTCCAGGCCCTAAAAAATATATCAACACATTTTACTTGCAAATACATATCGATAGGCAGGGGACTATGCCAAAATTTTTTGCCGATACTAATACTCAATTTTAGGCTGATACCGATACCATCAAAATTAGCTGATACCCACCGATGCTAGTACCACCAAAATTTACCAATGCCCACTGATACTCAGTATTTAGACTGATACCAATATTCGGGCACACCCCTACACATTAATAATAAATTTTGTGAAACAATGTTTAATTTCAAAATTTTAAGACTTAATAATCACTAGGACTATAACAAAGTTGTCATTGTTGATGTACTCTGGTACCTAGTTACCTTCTGTACACAGTGTAGTCAAAGTGAACTTCACCTGCTGGTGGTAACCTGACACAGACACCTACCTCAATGTGATACAAATGGTACAGTACCTCACCTACTGGTGGTAACCTGACACAGACACCTACCTCAAGGTGACAAACGGTAGCAGTGTTGTCTAGGGTCTTCCCCAGACACTTCATTTACTTTTTCGAATTTCCATGGTGACTGAGGCCTTCATAAATATGGGAAGGAAAAAACGTGCGTCCTATATGCAAGGTTAAAGTTGCAAAAAAGTGCTAAGGCACTTAAATGTACCTAGTTTAGTGAATGGTTCCACACTGCCGGTGTTGATTTGGACGTTGATCATAATTTTATACATAGGTCTCATAATTCTGGTTTATTATTTTTGTGCAGTTAATGTGTGCTGGGAGAGGAAGTTGTTCTTCATGAGGCAATAATGCTGATTATCAAGGATCATTTGTGCAGTGAAAGTATTTCTGTGACTGTGGTTGGTGCAGTGACAGCATTTCTGTGACTGTGGCTGGTGCAGTGAGAGTGTTTCAGTGACTGTGATGCAGTGATAGTACAGTGTAACCTCAAAAATCGAACTGCTCCCAACTCAACCAGTTATGTAAGTGTATTTTTATAAGTGCTTTTATAAGTGCATTTTTGAGGGTCTTAAATGGTCTAATCTAATTTACATTATTCCTGATGGGAATAAATTCGTTCGGTAGTGGCACTCGAACAGCCTTCTGGACCGAAGAAAGTTCGATATTTGAGGTTCCACTGTATTTCAGTGACTGGTTGGTGCAGTGATAGAGTTATTTTCAACGAGTGCTCAGGAACTTCACTGGTGGTTGAGAAACTACCTTACCTTAGCACTGAGTTGTGAGGTCCTACTGTTTGTTCTCACCCTCTTGTTTATATTGTTAGGAAGAACACTGAGGCTTAGAAGAGGTCTGACATTAGGATTAATAACCCTAAAATGAACACTGCTGATGATCAACAGGTTCTAACTGTTACAACAAAACCCGGCATTCAGTACATGACGACACATATGCAACATCTTCACATGAAGACATTTCACCAATCAGTGGCTTTATCAATACAAGGACATAATGTGATGAATGTAGAACTATATACAAAAGATGAGGTAATCAGTCCCTCAGCCTTGGGACTGATTACCTCATCTGTATATAGTTCTACTTATTTCATGTCCTTAAACTGTACTGATAGTCACTGGATGGTGAAATGTCTACAAATAAAGATACCCAGATGCTGCACATGTCTAATTCTTCATCTTGTCAGTATTGTCTATCATTCATATACATTCCAGTGGATAATGCTACCACTGGACATGTAAAGGATTTAATTCAGGACTCATTAGGCTCAGTTGAAGATTGAGACACTTATGCAACATATGGGAATCTTTATTGAGGAAATGTTTTGCCACACAGTGGCTTCATCAGTCCAATACAATGCAGAAAGGTGTAAGGAGAGGAGTTGTTAGAGGTAATCAGTCCCTCAGCCTGGAGTCGATGTGTTCAGTCCATCAATCTTGTAGAATGTAGAGCATAGGGCCGTAGACATGGCTTATATACTGTAATCAGGTGAGGTGAAGCAGGAGGAGGCGGGGTCACAGTGGTACCATCAACTAGTCTAAGTAGGTCTTCATCCACAGGTTGGACAAGGTTTGAAGAATTCTTTGTATCAAAATCCCATGATGCTGCAGTGTCTGACAGATGTGATAAATGGTAAGGTAAGGTAGACAAAACAAAAATTCTGCCTTGGTGCTTAGTTTCCCAGTTGCTGAGATGAAGTGGAATGGCTCGCCAGGAGTCTCTGGAGGTCAGAAGTGCCTGTGTTCTGAAGGAGGGGTGTGGATATGTTGCAGTTTTTTTTAACTGTAGTGTAGGCACGCCTCTGGCAAGACAGTGATGGAGTGAATGATGATGAAAGTATTTCTTCTTTTTCGGGTCACCCGACCTTGGTAGGAAATGGATGACGTGTTAATAAAAAAAAAGTTAGGGACTTGCCTCCTTCATGCTGGATAATTATGTTTCATCTGCAAGATAATTGCTTTTGAACCATCGTGAAGTTCAAATATCTTAAGTTGAACCATCGTGAAGTTCAAATATCTTAAGTTGAACCATCGTGAAGTTCAAATATCTTAAGTTGAACCATCGTGAAGTTCAAATATCTTAAGTTGAACCATCGTAAGTCAAGGAGCACATGTACAGTAAGTCCTAGACTTACAAACACTTTGAGAATCTTCTGTATTGTGTATAATATTCATAATGCAGAAAGTCTTCTGTATAATAATATAATAATGATCATAGAGTGTGTCGTCACTTACTGCCAGAGTTGTGTTGCTAAGACCAAGTCACTAAGTGAGCAACATACTATAATGGTAGTGGGTTTGTGTTGCTAAGACCACGTCACTAAGTGAGCAACATACTATAATGGTAGTGGGTTTGTGTTGCTAAGACCACGTCACTAAGTGAGCAACATACTATAATGGTAGTGGGTTTGTGTTGCTAAGACCACGTCACTAAGTGAGCAACATACTATAATGGTAGTGGGTTTGTGTTGCTAAGACCACGTCACTAAGTGAGCAACATACTATAATGGTAGTGGGTTTGTGTTGCTAAGACCACGTCACTAAGTGAGCAACATACTATAATGGTAGTGGGTTTGTGTTGCTAAGACCACGTCACTAAGTGAGCAACATACTATAATGGCAGTGGGTTTGTGTTGCTAAGACCACGTCACTAAGTGAGCAACATACTATAATGGTAGTGGGTTTGTGTTGCTAAGACCACGTCACTAAGTGAGCAACATACTATAATGGCAGTGGGTTTGTGTTGCTAAGACCACGTCACTAAGTGAGCAACATACTATAATGGTAGTGGGTTTGTGTTGCTAAGACCACGTCACTAAGTGAGCAACATACTATAATGGCAGTGGGTTTGTGTTAACCATCTTTGATACTCTTAATATCACCTTAGTATTATTTATAACATTTTTAGTATATTTTTAAATGTTTATACAGCAGTGTACTGTAATAAACAGAATAGAGGAAATCAGCTCTAATATACATTACTTGGGTATGCATACTGGTCCGAGAGCCCGTCGTAAATCTGAGTTGTCGGTAAATGATTACATTGCTAAGCGAGGGGATGCTGTACACAATAATGATATACGTAATGTTTTTGCCAGAGCTTATCATCCTGATGATTATACTGTCACTTGCAAATGTCAACTTTAGTATTCATATTTAGTGTAGATGTATTTACTGCTTGGATGGGTGCACACTTGTAAATTTTTCAAAAGGACAGGTATTCAAAAATAAAGTCCCAAATTTTATTTTTATCACAGGCATACCTAATTAGTGCAATACTCACTTTAGAGCACTGCTAATACAAAGCTGAAAAATTATACTCATGTTTATTATTTTCAGCGCTTGTCTTGCTCTTAACCCTATCAGGGTCCTGATCCCCGATCTGAGTCTTATCCACAGGGTCTAAGAATTTAAAAAAAAAAATTCTCTCATGAAATGGTAGAGAATCTTTTTCTGAATGTAATAAAACAAAAAGTACGAAATTTGATGGAAAATTGACGAAATTATGCTATAGTGAATTTTACTGCGTCAGCAATATTTATGCATCAGCGATTTTGCCCATTTTGACTCCCATTTTAGGCTAGTTACACTATTCCAGTCGGCCAAATTCTTAGCTATTTCTCTAGTATTACTTCTATTTTATCAACTGAGCACAAGAAACTGCCCAATCAACTATTTCAACTAACCAATAAAGTGATTGGAAATTGGAAATTTGGGCAATTTCACACAAAGTTCAAAATATTCCAATTTCAAAATAGGGTCCAGAATAAGCATTATTTTAGTGCAGGCATTCCTGGTACTAAAGCAACGCTTCCTCTATTTTAGTTACAATGTCAGGATTTATAAAAAAATTCCATTTTGATTTTTTATTCACATAATGAATTTTTATTCACACCAAAAAATGGAAGATTTACTGTTATGCAATACTGTAATAATTGTATAAATAATATCAGTGCATTCGTGAATGTATATTAGATCCACCAGTTGACGTGTGTAGGACGCATGACGTCATTTGTTTACTCTTGAACATCGGCAAAAATCAAACATTTCCGCTACTTTGTGCTCAGTTTCAAGCTATTTTTCAGCACTAAAACCAATCAAAATCATGTCTATTTCTGTGATATATCTTCCATTCTATCAAATGAGACCAAGAAACTGCAAATTCAAATGTAAAAAAACACACGAGTATACACCACAAAATCTCTGTTTTAGTCCAAAAACAGTCACAGTTTTTTTCCCATTATGCACTGTGTGTTGCAGGATGTTTTATATGGAGCACACTTACCACATAGATGCATTCTCTCATATCTAGGCCCAAATTTACCATTCACAGCTTACCTGAGTGAGCTGAGCTCAAGGCGTAGAACTACGGTTTGGACTCAGGCTTCAAAGCCATAGAACTACAGGACGGACCTTCAAAGGGTTAAGGCAATATCTGCACTATGGCTGCATCTAGAACCTAACACCAGCATATTAGTGAGGTCTTCCTGTATTATTATTAGAGTTTTTTATTATCTCAGAAGTTCTGCAAGTCAGTCATAACATTACAATGGTAAGTAGTGATCTGACAG